CAAAACAACACGCTTGGTGCACCGCGACCTTTACCGGCAGGAAGGCAGAGTGTTAAGGCGACAGATGTACGAAGCAGTGGTCGTGTCTGGTTGCAACACCGGTGTGTTGGTCTGGCTGGAAAAACGGGCCCCAGTAAAACGGGATTTGCGGCAGTCTAAATGCCGTCTGAAAGCCAGCGCCCCCAAGCACCCTTCTGCAGCAGTGTCGACATTACCAACCGAAACGGACGCCATCAACGCGGTGAGCTGGCTTATACCGCCAGGGGAACCCATGTCCTGCTTGGTAAGCAACAACACAAAGCGCCACAGAACGCCGTCAGTGGCATGGACGGGCGCTGGCCCGCATTGACTTGGTGTGCTGCTGACCCGTGTACATAGGTGCTCCAACCAGCGGCCAGCGGAATGCCCCAACGCCCCCAGCTGGCCCCCAGAATCTGCTTACCCATTAACTTTAGAGCTATCTTTCCCTGCACTTTAGTGTGTCTTGTCTAGGCCTCGTCCGTCGCAAGCACCTCACAACAGCAGCAGCATTATTTGCTCCTTCTTTGTAACAGCTTCATGGCGCATCTTACCAGACGTCGCACTCATTTCGCCCTGGAAATTCTACATTTCGACGCAAAACTTGATAACGGTGCGAGCAGCAACGGACTTGCAGGTCACACCGCATACCCGTGCGTTAAATTATTGCGGCACACCACGCTGTCTTACAATAATACCGCCGCTGCAGAAGAACATCGCCGCTTTCAAGCTGCTGAGTGGACTGTGCTGCTCAGAAGAATGAAATCGAGCAGCGCATTACCGAGAGATCACACAGCTGCCATTGCCAACAGATTGGCAGTCGAGTGTACGATACAAAACCAGGCAGCTGGCACAGACAGACAAACTTCTTCGCTTGAAAAGGGCGTTGCCCTCGTCGTCTTCTTGGCTTTTATACAGCAAGGCCATGTGTTTATAGCTAAACTGAATAAGGTAGGGCGATGTTGATGTAGACTGTCATGAGGCAGTCACTTCATGGCGACGTTAGATGTTGATAATTCAATACAATCAGATTGGTCGGGTTCGCTCAAATCATTTACATGAGATGCCTCTGGTTCCTTGCGCGTTGATGGGGTTGACGAAAATGTGATGAGCATTTTCATACAAGCGTAGCCAGACTACATCACTCAGCACCCCCACACCAGCCCCCGAAGTGCCTCGGCTGGGTAACGTCACTGCCTGGCGGTAGTTCGGACGGGACTGGGAACCAGAGCGTTTCTGGGGAGTACTTTATGACAGTGGTTGCATGCGATAAACACATGTGCACTGAGGCGTGCAAAGGCATAGGAACGGGAGCTTTGCGACCCAACGAATGTTGTTGAGGATAAAACGAAAACAAGAAGTAACGAAGGCATCGAGGAGGAGAGGTGGAGTGTTTCAATGCTATTAGCGTCCCCGAGAGCGAAACCAAGCTCACCGAGAGCGAAACCAGGCCCACCGAGAGCGAAAACAAGCTCGACAAAAAAGAGACCATGCTCACCGAGAGCAAACCAAGCTCACCAAGAGCAAAATCAAGCTCACCGAAAACGAAAGCAAGCTCATCGACAGCGAGACCAACCTCAATGATATCTCACCTAAGTTTGCATGTCATAAAAAGCGCAATAAGACACGTCTCATAAAACCAGTGCTTTCGACATATTATTGTTAACGTGCTGGAAGTGCGCACGGATCAATAAAGCTCGCTGTAATCATCACGTGCGTACCGACATGCGTGACGAAATAGAGCGAACCAGAAGTTCTACATGTTGTCATGGAAGTTCTACATGAAACCAAAATATAGGAATAAGTACTTCTAAGGTATCCTGATCAACTGCCTCCAAACCCACGCACATGCACACGCTTCCTCCGTCTGTCGCCACAAAATGGCTGCCACGGACCCTACACTGTGAAATGGTTCGCCCATGCGACATTCCATCTGAGACAATTAGGCCGTATTACGGCGCAAATCATACGACGACGCGGCTCGTCTCTGGCTTCCGCCACTAATCACAGCGCACGTCTATCGACCCCGACGGCCGGCGTGAAGCATCGACCCATGACCCGCCGCGCGCGCGCTGCGACCATATGGACGCTGCGTACATTGGCCGCCGGCCGCGCCCGCCAGCGGGCTCGTTATCATTTTGTACGCAGCTTATCGCCAGCGCCGCGCTATTGTACGGCCTGGGCGAGGGGGCGGGGGGCGGGGTTCGATGTAGGGCAGCGGCTGCCGGGGTCAGCCAAGCCGGTTCCACGACATGCGAGCCGAAACAAAAACTACGACGGACAGGAGTGCTACGACGTGAACTCTCCGGCAACAGTTGTTCACGGCATTGATGCTCCGCGACAAAATTTCTGCTGCAAAATCTTATACTGGAAAATTTATACCGTCATTACTTCTGCTGCAAACACTTGTACAGTCCTAAACGCGACATAACTTCTGCTGCTAAAAGTATACGCGACATTAGTGCTACAGCGCAAAGACTTTAATCAAGTCTTTGCTGTAGAAGTAATGATTTGTTTATGTTTTTGCAACATGAGCTTTGTCGTGTAGTACTCACATTGCGTATCAGTTTTTGCCGTACAAGAAATGTCGCGCATAAGTGCACACTGTTATAATTTTTGTAGCAAATGTACTGACGTGCACTAATTTTTGCAGCATAAATTTTGTCGTGTAGCCTTATGTCATTTACAAGTATTTGCAGTAGATGTAATGTCATGCATAGAGTACGCCTGTATCGTTTTTTGCAGTAGAAATAATGTCGCGTATGACTGACGCATCACCCGTGTCGGCAGCAGTTTTTGCCGCAGCACTAACGTCGCGACACCGGCGAGCCGTCCGTGTAAGCGCTGGCTCCGGCTGCGCGGCCGGCTCCCCGCGCGACGTGCGGTCGATGTCATTGCGAGCGTCGGACGGCGCGGGCGGACGGGCAGACCTCGTTGCTGAGGTGCGACCCAGGCACGGCCGGCCGCGCCGTGTGCCGGCCGCCCACGCCCGGCTGGCACCAGCCACGGATGCTGGCTGCACACAGCCGCTGGCCGACCCCGGGGCTTGGACGAGCTCAGCAGGTGAGCAGTGCGCCCAGGGCGGCAGCGAGGCAGGCGGCAGCAGACGGGTGACGGAAGCAGTGTCCCACTGCAGGCAGACAAATGCAACCGCGCCGCCGGCCGTGCGACTCGTAACCACGTGAGCGCGACACATCCGCGCCAAGTTAACCCTACAAACGCTGGCGGTATTTCGCCACCCGCTGCCGTCTGGGGGGGGGGGGGGGGGAGCGCATTTATGCATAGTTTTATCCTTAGCACGTCCGCATCAGGGGCGAGTACATCAAAGTGATATTTCATTATGGTGACCTTTTTGTCCAAACCGTTACCTAGGTGCCTAGGGGTAAACCCATGCATGGTAATATTTCAGCTGTTTGGGACATGCACGTGCTGAAAGGCTGTCTCGGGGAATCAAAATTGCCTGTTCATTCTAGTCAGAAAAATAGAATAGGAACACCTTTCGGTGGGCTCAGTCAATTCTTTACGACCATGAGGAGTGCAATAAATGCTGTTTTTCGTAGTTCCTCGCGGTGCCCGCCCTTCCCGCCAGGGTGAGAGGCAGGCGACGTCCTATGGCCTCCGCAGCTGAGTGCGTCGTAAAGCGCAATGACGACGAATGTTATGTAGTGTGGATTCCAACTGCTACTTAAACGACAAACTGGGAAGAGCCGTTCCATTAAAACACAATGGGGAGGCGCCGCGCACTCTAACTTAAATTCGAGTCTGCGTTCCGGTCAGTGGCGCACCGAAGCTACCTAATTAATGTTTCGCTGTCATGTCCATTTCTCTGAGACCCTCAAACTGCCATTTAAGTGACCGGTTCGCATCGACCAATGTCACGAAGACCACGTCGATGCGTTCGGTGCTGTGTTGTATGAATATCGACAGTAAGCCACCAATGCTTGAGCCTGACGACGTAGCAAAAGGCTTCTAGGGCGGTGGAAACGTCTATACTTAGTGCGTTGGGAAGCCGTTCTCCACAACCGGGTTCACAACAGCCCTGCCAGAGGGAAAGAGCGGCTACTTGAGCCCTGTCAGCGCGGCTTAAGTCACGTCGCGACGGCCTGCCGCGGCTTTGAGGTGATAGAGTATTATGTTCCGCGCAAAAAACCCCTCTTTTGAGGTGGCCCGGCACAATCGTCCTTTCGAGTATAGATAATCGCTTATCGTTGTTGAATTGCACCAATCTGTAAGAACGTGCAAGCCAAAATAGAGGACCGTCATTTATGCAAGCGGTCTGAGTTCCTTTCTGGGAATGATGCCATGTTTAAATAGATGAATTCCGCAGACGTCAACAAACATTCTCAGCTTACGTTTAAACATTCAGGATCATGACGACCGTACCGGGGCAGACACATTCACATTCCATGCCACCATCGTCAGATCTGTTGGCGTGCTCCCGCCATAACCCACTGACGGACAGGTGCCGACTGGTATCGACCACGACCGTGTGAGCATTCTTCTGTCTGGTGCTTCCCATGCCGGTGCTAATAATGCACGCCATGAAATGGTCACGAGCCACGTGGCGTGACTGTTGGAAGCATCAGCATGCAGGAAAGAGAGCAGGGATGCAGAAATTTGAGTCGTGCTCCACAGCCCTAAGACTGACAACTACTCACGAACAGGTTTGACGGTAGGTCTGACACATTTCCGCGATGAAAGTCTTTTTAAAGTGCAATCGATTATCAGTCTGACAAGGACCGGGGAAAACCGACCGGCGAGATGATCTGAGCTGGACTTTGACGGCGATTCACGATCCACGCGTGACGTTAAGCCTCACCTCAACGACGCGGTCGGATTGGCCGGGTCCGGGAATAGGTCCGCGTCTGTCCGCGGACAGAGACGCAGAATCGACAGCCGAGTGACCTGATGGGCGGCGTGTTTGGTCGGCACCTGGGGCTACGCTCAAGCACGCTGCCCCGGCTAGGGCGGCCACCACCTACCTTCAGTGTTCCACCAGTTGTCGCAGCTGTTCCACGGCAGGCTGTTGGTGAAGCTGGAGGCCAGGTAGAAAATGGTCCAGGCCAGGATCATGTTGTAGTAGATGCCGATGAAGAGCGAGATGAAGAACATGGCATAGCCGATCCCTGTCACCGTACAACTTCGTCAAGTTACGCACAGCAGAAGGCTGACGCATTGTTGTCCAGCTTTCCCACCTTCAGCAAAACACCCGCGCCAGTCGAGTCCTTTCTTTACACGGAACGCACGTACTGTTCGAGAGAGAAACACTTTCTGACCTGGACGAGAATACCTGGTTCCAGCACGCCACCACCCAACCACTAAACATGTTCTGCATGCTCAACAGCGCGCACTGAGCGAAAAGACGTAGGCCGCGGCTAGCACAGAGGAACGTCATGAAAGCGAGGGGACTCAGGCTCGCACCGACACCTGGGTCGCGTGAGGCCGCGCCTCGCTTCCGCACGGCGATCGATGCCCTGCGCAGTTGGCCGACCCTTTCAGCCGGTCTGCCATCACGACATCCCCCGGCGACCTCCCAGATTACAGCCTACGGCCCCGCTTCCGCCGCCGCCGGTGGGCGGTCAAAGGCCCGACTTTCGGCCGACTTCCGACACTCCCGCGCCTCGGCCTCGTGGCGCTTAAGCTGCGAGGTGGGATGGGGCGCCACAGACAGTGGGGCTGATTTACAGCTGCTGGGACAAACTAAGCTTCGAAACCGTTCCGGTCCATGCAAGGACAAGGAATGCCACTTTTATCCAAATTGGGTACGGCTGTTCGCCTGTCGCCTCACACGGCGCCCTTGCGGTGCGGGCAGCCGAGCTCCTAGGCCGAATAGGTCCGGGTCGCCCGCCGGTGGTCCCGCGGGAGGCAGCGTGACGCCAGGAGCGGAGGCTGCGCAGAAGAGCGGCCGCCGCCGATCAATGAGCGCCGCCGTATCCTAGCAACGGCGGAGGCAACGCACCTTGGAACAGCGGGCAGATGCCCCACACGGCCACCGGGCCCAGGCTGGCGTACTGGCCCAGCGTCAGCTCGAAGAAGAAGAGCGGGATGCCGGTGAAGATCAGCATCAGCACGTATGGGATCAGGAAGGCGCCTGCGGGAGCGGCCGCCCGGTCAGCGGCGGTCGACCCGGACAGCACAGCGACGGCGGCGTCACCACACGAAGCACGCGCCATGTCAGCAGAACGAGCGTCGCCCGTGAACTGATGACGCTAGAGTCATGGGTCCACGAGCGCGAAGTGAGTGACAGTGTGAGATGACCCTAAACAGATTGACTCGGGCAGCTCAGGCAAGACTTAAGCAGTCGCACGGTGTCGGATAGGCCAACTGGCGCAAGAGCAGCTTCAGCAAGATGCGACAAGCCAGGCCAGCACAGCTTCGCGCCACAGGGCGCTAATGGCTCAAGAAGCCTGCTGCAGAGATGCCTCTTTTGTCTGAAATATCAGCGGTTTTAAACAGATTGAAATGAAGGACGAGAATCACGCAAGGCACGTTCCACAAACTTCAGAGAAACACCACTTTAGATAACCTGCGTAACAACCGGAGCCTGTCCCAACAATCTCGCAAGAGCCACATGAATGCTTGAGCGATTCTCATCCCCAAATCACATGATGCATCGCAGCGTACAAATCCCCGTGGAACAATTGCACCAACTGAGGAAGAGGATCTAGTTTAATCGGCACAGATGGAAATAAAACCGTCTGGTGGAGTTGCGATGGCCTTTTGTATTCCTCTAGCTCTCGGGCCGCATTTGGTGGCCACTGCGTCAGCCTGCGAACAATTGATCGAGCCTCTCAACTTCTGTGCGCCGCCAGTCCGCTTAGCAGTGTTAGTTCGGCACCACTCCAGTCCAGTGAACGTACCGCGGAGTAGCGACGCACAGACGCTGAGAGGCTTCTCGCATGAGTCATCCAACGTGATGTCCAGCAGGGTCATTAGTTACGCGACAATACAAGTGCCTTGATATAGCTCCTGGGGCCGGGGCGTCACGACGGCCCGACTGTGACCCTGCGCGCGCCGTGACCACTGAGGCCGTGACAACCACGTGCCGCACCGGCAGGAGAATTTCAAGGCATTTGTATTTTAAAACAAGTCAATGCTTCTAAAGCAGAGCCAAAGTAATGACACAAGAAAGACTAACGCTACAATAAGGACAAGATGGCCATGCGACGTGTGCTTAAGCAAAGTACGAATGTAAATGATCGCAACTGAGCTTAAAACGTCGTACTGTGGGCTGGTACACTGGTTGTCTGTCCGTTAAGAACGCAGCGCCTGGGTTCCTAGCCAGCTCCACAACAAGCTGCCCTCCCCCGTGTTCGAGCCCCTAGCTTACCAATCGACGACGTTTCACCTGCAACGAGAGAAAAATAGGCGGATGAGTGACTGGTGTAAAGAGGTGCGGGACCCATACGGAGCACGAGCTAGCAGGCAGAGACGCCCTACTACGCGATAGACGGGCGGCGCTGCGCTCCTAACAGCAAGACAACCAGCCGCCCACAGCTCAGATGATCCATCTCCACCTGTGCCTCGCTGTCGTCGCAACAAATACCTCCGCCATTCTGGTAACACAGATAGGGGAACCTCCAGATGTTACCGAGGCCGACCGCATACGACAAGCACGAGAGGATGAACTCGAGCTGCGAGCCCCAGCTGCCGCGGCCGCCGCCGTCGCTGCCGTCGCCGTCCGAGGCGACCTCCGACGGCGTGGACAGGTCGGGGTCGGGCACGGCGTACGGCTGCGCGGCGCGGCCGTCCTGCGAACGACGGCAGCGATTCAGGCACGTGCGCGTGACGCCCGTAACGTGACGCCTGACTGACAGTCGGTCGTCGCTCACAGTGTCACCCTGTCTGGGTGGTGAGTGGACAGCGAAAGGCGACTGGGGCCAGAGGAGGCACAGCAGTCATCTACATGGAGGGGAAAATGCGAGGTCGCTTGCTTAGAAGCAATGCACACATGACGTAATAACAAGGGGTGTGGCACTTGCACCACTTTTATACGTGATGCCGGACACCCGCTTCGATAAATGCTAAGCACGCGCACATCACACTCAAGGTACTTCACACATTTACGAGAAAGATTTCAAGCACGCTAAATATCTCAGGTGGACTGGCACCAGAGCATGTAAATGCGGAAACAGACACAGCAAAACTTTGTAACGTTGTTGAGCGCGGGTAATGCCGACGTATCATTCGCGGTCACAGCATTATGATGCTTAGAATGTTCAAGCCTCTTGCCAGCTGCAGAAATACTATCAAAGCAGCATTAAGTGCAGATCGAGTGGAACGTACGGAGAATGCCTCGTCGGCCCCAGGCTGAGCCGTGGATACCACGTTCAGCGGAAGAAATAGCCAGATTATAGCCGCACTTTATTATTCCTGTCGTCTCAGATAACTCAGGTGGTGGCAGCGGTAAGTGAGCACTGAACAGTTGTATCGGTTGTTGAAACAATAATGACATTCATGTCATATTGCGAATAGCGGCAAATTGGACTGGCTCGTGGTGGCTGTAAACCGGCATCGATCGAAAAATTGATCGCTTTAAATGTCCCTGCATCAGCTCACATTAGACAGCATGCCTTATTGACAATCCACACTGAGAGCGAGCAAATCGCATTTCTTCTTTGGCAGTCTGTAATCCCCCTGGTCTTCATCGATATCTTGAACTTTCAAGCTTGCGAAATAGCAGTCAGCGTTGTTCAGGACTTCGCAACATCCCTCACGACCCACTACGTGTACACACTGTTGTATCATGTCCTGACGTCAGCACAATCTTGCCATTTAAAGGGGGTGTTACACATTCATATCGGGGTTTGAACTGAAATAGCGATCTTGAAGTTCATTCGGTGCTGTTCACAATACTGCCCTTCTTAAGATCTAAGCCCCTCTAGTTTCTGAGCTACACGCCCGCGAAAATGGGGAAAGGTCTTTCGGTGAGAGTATTTCAAAGACACCTTGGCATTCATGACGTCATGACGTCGTCACGTTAATGTTCTGACGTTGATCAATATATGTAATATATTAACATAAATAATATGATGTAAATAATCAAAAAAGGTACGATGACGTAATCAAACCATGACGAACCGAGGAGTATATTTACCAAACAGAGAATTGTGCCGTCTAGAACAGTCTTTTCCACTTAAAGCGCATACTCATAGTCATAGGTCAGCTTGTTTCATGATATCTGATGCTTGCTTAAATATCTTCAAGCGTGAAAAATTCCCTTTAACGCACTAAGCGCAAGCCGGGTGGGCATACACCTAGCACCTATCGGGCGTATCAGGTGTGTTGCAAATTATATTGTATTGTTGATAACGTATTTTTTGAGGCACACAAAACAGGTCACTGGTGCTAAATAAAACGAATCCACAGACTGCGCTGAGCCTGTCAAGAGGTCAGCGCAATCGCTTTTTCTCTTTGTGTGAGCTTTGGAATTTTCGTTAAAGTGAGCATCCCACCTTTTCATATATGTCACCCATTGTTAGATAAGACGCGTACGATTTGACAAAGAAATACCAGTTCCTCGAAATCCTGAGAGATCAGATTTTGGTTTGAAGTAGCCCCTACCTCAGGAGAAATTTCATTGAATTCCCTGCTCACCACTATGAAAGTAATCGGTTTTTTTGGATTGTTTTTTCCAACTTGTGTGTTCTGTAATGTTTGCAACACACAATTGTGTCAGAATGTGTGTAATATATGCTACGAAAGTTTGACACGCTCTAGACAAAAAAATATGCGAACACGAAGCTGTTCACTCATGAATTCCACACAACGTTAAACTACGGACTTCATTTCTCCCGTATGACGTTAACACAGTGCTTTTTCTCGGCTTTGGGAAAGAAGCATCGCCATGGTCCAAAGTGTCTCACTGGTTCGAGTTTCAATAATGCGGTTTTCGGTAACAAGTCTTTGCCACCCGCTACGCCAATCACAAACGTTCTTTTATTCACAACAGCGGAGGTGCGCACTACGGCTGTCATGGCGACCGCGGTCGCGACTGCAAGGAAAAAATGTAGTGCCGTTGCAAAGCGTTGACAGCGTAATTTGCACTAGAAAATGATGAAAATTGAAATTCTTATCATGTTTTGGTGGTATTGCAGTGGCCCTACGCAGTGCTTTATCACACGTAGTTGGTCAAGGGGTTTGAAGGTATTGATTCAAGCATCGGATGTCATGAGAACAACTTACTTATAACTAACGATCGCTTTTAAGTGCAAAAACTGCTCAGAATAAAACAACTTCGCTAGAAAAGATATTCCTCGATAGGTCGCCGCTTGATTGCGGCATATCACATTATTATAACGTCAGATTCGTATGTTGCAGTTGCCCAAATGCCTGTTATTTATCACAAAATGCGGTTCGTGATCGAGTCATGCAATCAGCAGGCTAGTGCGACTGTTAGGCAATTGCCTTCTACCGTTAGGACGCTTAGCGCAGAAGTACAGCAGACAAATATTTGGGTAGCAATATTTGTCTTCATCATGAGCATAATATAAAGGCAATGATGTGGGGATATTCGCGTGAGGTTTCGACGACGTCATGCATATCTTGGAAACTTTCAAATAGGCTGCACACAGCAGGCTGCACAAGTTTGCATGCGTTTAACTGAGAAACAAGGGGGTTTGTGTGGAACAATCATTTTAATATCACCGTTACAGTAACCGGTGATCGGTGCCGGTGGTCATGGCTTGTCGGAATTGGTATACAAAGCAAATGTAAAAAATTTTCTCACCGGTCAAGGGAGTGTCTGATGGAAACTCAGGTACGTGTAAATAAACGCAGTACGATCCGGACACGACTCGGACATGACAGGTAAACAAATTGGCGTGTCCGATGAATGCATACCAAAAAGCTAGCAAATGCGTTCCATGGAGTTAAAAAAACAACGTTATCCTTGGTTATTCCGCAGGCATAATGATGTGGCTATCCGTTTTCATGCTTGCTTCTAATCCAGAAAAAAGGTTTAAGTGATATTTTCAATCGATTTTGAAGTGTTATGCCCATTTCCGCATTCGAAGCCTTGATTCCTGGTTAACCCAGTATCCTGACATACGATGTGCCACGCTGCCCGAGCTTGCCATACTGCCCAAGTGACATCATCCCACCGTCCAAAGCAAAACCGGCTTGCAACGATCAAACAGTGGCTGATGCTGCCGAAAGTTTTAATCGGTGCCTGGCGTGCAGAATCCACATCCCTATGGATATTCCGTCATATGCTGTTCACGCCTACAGAAGCAACGTAATTTTGCATGCAGTCATGCCCTAACGGCGTCCATTTCTTCCCTTGCAGGAACGGCGATTGGATAAGTTCGTTAAGTTCTTGGAATGTTTGCACGGGCGATAGAAGTCCCCCCCCCCTTCCTTCGTTCGTTCCCGTCTGACACGGGCACCTTCTGTACATCGTGAGTAATAAGATCGATTCGCTGCACCCGTGCGCCGCGTTTTCAAGTTGACACCAGCACGTGACACACCCCTACACGCACGCGACACACCCCTACACGCGAGGACCGACAGCCGATTGCCCAGTGTCGCAGTGTAACGCGTCTGAGCGTCGCGGGCCGCGCACGTCCCGACAGCATCTCACGGTGCAGGGACGCAGACGGGGACGGGTCACGTGTCCTGAGACGTTTGAGAGCAGTGCGTCGCACGCGCCCACCTCGCGTCACGGGCAGACCGCCGCCCCCGCGCCGCGTGTCAGTGTGCGGACTCACCGCGGTCATGCTGGCTATGCTCGTGCTGGTCGAGTTGGGCGTGATGAAGCGCGTGCGGCTGTCGACGGGCTTCATGACTGACGCGCGGCCGGACGCGGCGACGGCGCTCTGTCTGCTGATCGATCAGCTACTGCCGCGACCGGCGCGGCCGCATCTCCGCCGGCGGCCGCGCCGGCGCCGAGCGGCCCGTCGCATCGAGCCGGGCCCTCGCCCTGAGTCAGCCCCGTCCCGCACCCAGCTCTGGCCGACCCATTAGGGGGGGGGGGGGGGGCGGCCGGCGGACGCACCTGGGGGCGCCCTCGGCCGCGCCGGTGACGGCCCGAGCGGGTGGCAGCGGTCCAGTGGTGGGCCGCGGGCGGTGGGTGCCGCCGTCATCGCTCGTGGTGCGTCGTGAATTTATCCCTTCGTGTTGTAGATTTTGGTTTCGAGATGCTTATGGGAGTGTGTATGTGGAGAAAAGTGAAGGAGGTCACGGAAACCTTGCCAACGCTATTGCTGTAGACACGCACTGAACTGGCTGAGCCCTGCGGCTCTGTTAGCTTGAAGATTTTATAACGTAATCTTAAATCCATATCACGCGGATACCAAACACCTCAGAGGGCGCTGGCCAGCACGATTGAATGCGCTTGTTCAAATTTGATGATTCGTGAGCCACACTGAGATAAACGCAAAACTGTAAGCATAAAGTGAAAAGCCAATCCCTGTTTAGGCGTGCCGATGCCTCAGGTTACAGAAATGGTTGACTGACTGAGGCGTTCGGAATCAAAAGCGCCTCAATAAAAACAATATGGAACATGTCTCCGTAGGCCAGAAGTCAGTTATAGCGTCATAGTTTTGACTTCTAAACGAGGTCCTTTGGCGACATCCTAGCGGAAGGTCGTTGGCTTTTTAAAGGCAAGATTTATTCAACTACACTGTACTCAGTTAGTGGAGACACTACATTGTCACGGCCTGAGACCCGCAAAAGACAGTTTGGATGATGTCATAAAAGAGGTGACGTGAGCAGCGGAGCGACTTCCGATTGGACGGTTTCCGCGCGAGCTTTTTTAATTGATGCACAGTGCTGGACGGTCTACGGGTGGTGCTGTGAACGAACGGGGCTAGGGAAGCCATGCATGTCTGGTTGGCTAGCTGGCTGAGCGAACCCAAGGCCAGGTGCGGCATCGGACCTGGCGAGGGTCAAAGTCCGTTTCGCGGCCAAGTTCCAAATTTAGTTTGTGGCATTACCACCAAAACCAAGCACAAATGGTGCGTGACATTCTGACCATCGTTTTAAGAGGGCGTAGGGCCCTGCTGGATTCGACTTACAGTTAGCTCCGACTTCGCCCCGCCTCGCGTTTGGTGTCGAGCGCGTCACCTCGAGTCGACATAATTTCTCTGCAGCGTGGATTTCAGGCTGGAAACGACGCAGCTTCCTTTTCTAAGGGGGTCCCTAAGGCCTTCTAGTACCTGGCGATTGACAAAGCCCGCTAGTAGTGCGAATATTCAGCGTGCTTATCGTGCGGCCCTCTCAGAGCGTGCTTCGCCATGGCATACCCCGGTGAAGTGATGCCATGCTGACCTTCAAGTGGGCCACTGTCCGACCCAGTAAATCAGGGTATGGTTGAAATAAGCCTGCCGAGGTCGTACTTCTGCCTTTCGACTTGCATTGTGCTATTTCAGTCTGTACTCACTCTCTCAGAAGTGAAAAGCTTCTGATTTACCGGATATGATCGGTGACAAGAATGGACACTTTAATAGTCAATTGGTGACAAAATTGCCAAGATAAAACAGATTACAACAGACCAGAGCATATGACAAGAGACCATCCCAGTTAGACGGGGCTCAAAGCTTAGTATTGATCTGTTCTCACTAACGCTTGCAGGGTGAGCTTGTGTAAAACATATGTTGAAACGTTGACATTTCGCTGTGAGCAGATGGAGCCTCAACATGTTGCCAAACATAGAAGGTTTAATCGGGATAGTTTCTAGCAGGTGACAGAAATACGTTACAACTTATACTATATCAATGCTAACGTCACAGATCAGTGGCGACGCAGTGTTTTTCCTATGCCCCTCAGATCCGTACTTTTCGCATATTTTTCAGCCAAGAACCAGTTCACGAATTTTTTAGCATATGAACAGTGAACAATATGAACTAATTAAGATTATCACTGGTCGTAATCGTGGCTGGCCACAGCATCTTTCAATGAACGTGATCAGTTTGTAACACGGCGTTTTAAAACGTCGTGCCAGTGGAGATAGATGGTTTCGCATGCTCGCCACACGGTAATGAATTAGGCACAGTGCGCGCTCAGTACAAAGCCGTGTGATGCCGTTGGTTGTGTTCACGTCGTGAGAAGCTGACTGACTTGAAGAACGCAGCCAATCGTAAGTTGTTTTTTGTTCAGTGCATTAGCGAGGAACATTATTCACGTAGATAAGACAGTAGTATTAGCCTTATTCCTCGCAGAAAAACCAGGAGAATGGAGATAAGTTGGCTTGATATTTTGGCGGCATGCCTTTATCGAAACGATAGCAGAAGTGAATTTATGTTATTGTTTCCATAGAGGCATGTTGCCGGCATACCAACCCAACTATATTTCCATTCTCCTGCTTTTTCTCCGAAGAATAAGGCTAATGCTACAGTCTTATCTACGCCGGTTGTTTTTTAACACGTTGTGCGGCTTTTCTCAGGGTCTACCGCGGCGGGTGTTCTTGGTGATAGCGTTAAAAAGCCCTGCCGATCTAAGAGCCTTGATGTTCGTGGATACCTGAGCTGCAGCTTCAGAGGTCAACGGAGGACATTGGAGCGACACATGTTGGGGATTCATCTGGGGCTTCCTGCTGCTGAGAGGAACAGCGGCTTTGAGGTGAGATGATAGCTGCCGAGCATCGCTGATATATATATATATATATATATATATATATATATATATATATATATATATATATATATATATATGCTTCTCACACTGCCGGTCGGGCCGCAGATTTAGCGTTCTGAACGGCGGGCAGGCGTGGGATAAAACGCTTCTTATTATCATTATATTGTATATGACGCTAAATGAAGGCAACAGAGGTGTTCCTAAATATCTTGTGCATCTGCTGGTACCAATACTGCATGGGTGTCGTACTAAATCCCGTTCGTTGAGACTGTGTCAGGAAGTGCGAGTTCTGCGCCAACAATGATTAAGCAAAGGTAGGGAAGGTCGCCAGCGCTTCCAACTGATGGCGCGGTGGCGTCACAAAACCAAACGTCTTATTGTCTTCAGGTGTTTGTAGACCCATGTTATCGGTAAATGTAGGGCGACAGGGAAACAGTTTTGCAAAATACTCAGGGGTGGGCAAAGGGGGTTGGGCACAAGAGGAGGACAAAGAGAGGGTGCAAGGCGGAAAATGGCTTAGTCTGCCTCCGAAATGCAATTCAAACAGTTTTCTCCCAGATTTGACTCACTTCCTTTTCAGAGCTCAGAGCAGGGACGGAGAGTCTGAAAATCAGTTGGGGGAGGGGTGAACCCTAAAAATTGATGATTAATGAGACATAAAGGGTACAAATAAGAAAAAGAAATAAGAAACTACATTTCTGGTTATGAGGCACAATACATCCCACCCCCAAACTAAATAGGAAACCCTATTCCTCTAGGCTGGTTGTGTTAAGTATGCGTTTATCTGATAATTTATCAGTTTAGTCTGAACCATCATTCAGTGTTCGATGACCAGTTATACTGCAACGACTTCGATAGATTTGGATCCAAGCTACTGGTGACAATACAGACGGCCCCAAATTTGTCGCTGACAGGAAAGACACTCTTTCATCCCTGCACTCTCTTTTGACAAGCCGTCGCTGACAGGAAAGACACTTTTTCATCCCTGCACTCTCTTTTGACGAGCCTTAAAGGGAGCATCCCATCTTTCTGTGTTTTTCACTTGTTTGTTGTCCGTGCGATTTGATCAGCAATACCAGTTTTCACGAAACTTCATCAAAGCTCATAATTTTTATTTGTAGTACCGGATCTCGCGCGATTTATCTCATTTGACTCCATGCTCATCACTATGAAATAATTGATTTTATTTACCTTGCTTTTCCAACTTGCGTGTTTTGCAACGTCTGCAGCATTCTTATTTGGCAAAAAAAGTTGTGCAGTAATCGCTACGAAAGCTTGAAACACTGTTTAGATGAAGACATGCGAACATGAAGCTGTTATCCCGCCAGTTTAACGGAACGTTATACTACGTCTTCAATTTCTCTCATACAGTGTTAACCACAGTGAGTTTTTCCCGGCGCACTTTGGTTTTGGGAAAGGAGTATCATGTAGCCCACAGTGATACACTGCTTCGAACCTCAACGACTGCGATTCTCGGTAACAGGTCCTCACCGCCCGCTGGGACAATCACAAACGTTCTTTTATTGGCACTAGTAGTGATGCGCACAACGGTTGTTACGACTACGATGGTTACGACTGCAGAGAAAACACGTAGTGCTCTTACGATGCGTTGACAGCGTAATTTAGACTCCAAAATGATAAAAATTAAGATCCTTATTATGTATCGGCAGTGCTACTGTGGCACTGCCCAGTGCTGTTATTAAACGTAACTGGTCCTGAGGTTTCACTAGAGTATTCATTTTAAGTACATAGAGTATTTATTTTAAGGATAACCCAAGGTGAGACATTCCCTTTCTTGGTCCAATGAACACATGAACTTAAGCTGGAGCTGGTGATGGCAGTGATGGCCCCATAGCAGTGAAGACTGGCTGAAAAGAACAAGTTGAAGGCGGGCGATCCAGTCGGTAATTATTTTATTCATATATCAGTCCTTTTAAGACTCATCAAAGCCGTGATATACGGGCTTTAAACATAAAATACCCAGTGACTGAATCCTATTATCAATATAAATATGATACTTTCGCGATATTGGTGGCCACTGATCAGTACGTCAAGGGATGAGACCTACCGAGACATTGTGTGTGCATTAGAAGCATTTGAAAATCGTGGCCCTCATTATGGATTCGTACGACATCGACCTTTTACAGGTGTGTTCTCTTTACGCTGTTCGAATTTTCCTACGGCTTGGCCTCGACACAAGCCCAATAAAAGATGGCTACCACCTGATGCCGTATTTAATTATGT